ATCGAACATTCAGGTTTATCAAAAGTAATATAATTAACCATACTAGCCACATCATGTTGTCCAATATTTGTTAATGTTTGTTGAATATCTTCATTAGACAATTTATAAAATAAATCAACTGTATCGATAAAAGTACTAATATAGAAAGTGAATGAATGAAGTTGTGGCATATAATCAAGAATATCATGTTGAATATTAGTACCATCGATGACTCTATTTCGACCTTTTATACGAAGATATAAAGTTAATTTTTCCAAATATAGCATACGATGAAGAAGTGATACAATTTTATCATATTGTTTAAATCGATAGAACGATTTTAATGAGAAACATTTCAGATTAGGTAAATTATCCTAGAACAGAAAAAAAAATATTGTTGATAATCTACAAGTTTAAGTCATACGTATCATTACTTTGAACAACGTAATGATTTTATACTTTTTCTATTAATGATCATAAATAAGAAATCTGTCGATTCAATTTTCTCATTTTGAAACATTAAAAAATAGAGTAATGAAAAAACAATTAAAAGCTTCTAGATAAAATTCGAATTACATGTCAATCATGTGAAAAAGTGCTAATATAAAAAGAAATGTCGTACTATTCTGTGGTTATGATCATTCATATATCATACTATTTAATCAATGATGAGACAGAGGTATCTCGTTTTCGATTGACAATTTGTCTAATTTAGTAAAATATTATATAATTATAATTTATAACAACAAATTCCGTTAATTCTGTTATTAAATTCAAGTTTCTGATAAGTACAAATTCTGTGTCTATGACTCTGCTATATTGATTACGACTTATCACTTATTTTTCATCTTATCAATGAGATACTTAATCATTAAACTTTTTAATAAATATTTCTAAGATAAATTCGAACTACATTGACGTATCAATCATCTTTACCTCATAAAACTATTTGTAAAAACTTACCATAGTATGAACAGTTTCAGAGGAATTGTCTATTACATAAACAATAACAGACAACATTATCAATTGCTTAAGTCGACCATCAAGTAAATAAAGACAATCATCAAATGTATTTACACTAATAGATAAATGAGTTAGAATTGGAGAGAAAAAAGTACTCAATGGTAAATCAACGAGTGATAACCCTGGATATGACATCCATTGTGGTTGTATGATACTTAGATTTTTTAAATTCTTGAAGAAATTCAAGATGTATGCATATACATTTATAGTATATGCTTTCGATGAATCATCCATATTGCGTTTATCATTATTGATAAGAGTGAGATTTGTAATTTGTTGTTGAAAAATAAAGCGAGCTGATGATTTATCTAAAGTAGAAAAATGAAACTTACATATTGCGGTCTATTTAATCTATAAGATTTTTATTATTTCTCAACTAATAAATTTTATATTAAA